GCTTGAGACAGTATTACAGGAGGAATGGAGCCAAATTCCTAATAATATTTTAATAAATTTAATTAAAAGTATGCCTAGAAGAGTCGAAGCATATATTGCAAGCAAGGGCTGGCTAACAAAGTATTAATTTTATATATAGATTCATAATAAGTTAGACTATAGTATATAAAAATTTTAGTCTCAATTATTATATATACTTTTGAATAATTAATAAAGTTAGGGTGGCTAATACTTTTGTCCAGGTAGTATATTTAGAAATATTCTTGAATATTTTTAATCAGTAGTAATTTCATTGTAATTATTTATAAGTTTTATTAATTTCTAAATAATCAATAATTAAAATATCATATATAAACTTATTTTGTTAATAATTATAAACAAGGTAAAATATAATATAAATAATTTTAATTTATAAACTTGTAATTTTATTATTTGAATAATATTTAGATCTGAAATTATTTTACAGAACAAAAAGAACATATTTATAATGAAAGAAATAAATATAAATTACAAATAAATTAATAATAATTTCTATAATTAAAATATAGTGAAAGAAATAAATATAAATTAAAAATAAATTAATAATAATTTCTATAATTAAAATATATATGACTAAATAAATTAATTAATTTAATTTGCATCTTCAAAGAATAACTAATTATAATTCAATAAATTATAAATAATAAATAAGAATAAATAAAATTATAAAAAAATAATAATTAAAAATTATGAAATAACTAAATAAAATATTTATCTTTAAATTATTAGTAAGTTAAAATATAATAATTTATAAAAAGCTAATATCTTCAGATATTCTAATAATCTTTTCTGATACTGTGAGAGAATATATATGATAATATCTAAAATAAATAAAATTATTTATTCTATTATTATTATTTATTTTTAATTTATTATATAAATAGATCCAAATAGAAAAAAAATAATAATTAAATTTTTAGATAAAACAGCACTAAAAATATCAAACTTTAACTATATATTTATATTTCAGAAAAATATAATAGAATAAATTTATTCATGTGAGTAATATGCTAAAGCTTGAATTTCTTATTATAATTTATTAAATATTACTATTCTAATATAGAAAAGAGGGAAAAAAATATTAGATATTTTATTTAACCAAATCTCATTTTCATATGATGCAATCTAGAAGTTATAAAGCTACATACAATTTTCTTTTAAAAAATCATCTTTAAATTTTGTCATATAATATGCTGTGAAAAAGAATTAATAGAAAGTCAGAAAGGTGAAATTATTATTACAAAAAAACTTAATCACACACATACTGAGATCTCTAAGGCTGTAGATTATTCTGTGTTAGAAACACATGAGCTTAAAAAGTCATCTAAAAAATAATCAGATCATCTATCAATTTATAACAAATCTGCATGCAATCATCTCAAGGCTTCAGTAATCTGAAACAAAAATCATACAAAGTATTAGAATTATTATATAAATATCTGAATCATTCTATCAATAAATAAATATCAGAACCTTCTATAAATAAATAACATTAATTAAAAAAAATTGTCCAATATTTCTTTCCCCCCATATCATATAAACAAGAATGATAACTCACTGATGACTCAAAGAAGAAAGTTAAAGACTGTTTTTATTTTCCTTGTTCCTTCTTCAGTCGTCAGAAATCGAAAAAAAATAATTACTTTTTCCAATTATGAGAGTTTTGGTGAAAGCGATAATCACGTTTTACTGTTTCGCTTTTATGTCTTAGTCTTTCTATTATATTCGTTGGAGGAAATATTACAGTTAGAAGAGAATTTAAATTCGTCATGATGAGAAATTTGAATTTTTTTTTTGCTGATATAATGTTGCATTTTGTGCTCTTACGTATCAAATACATGTACTTTCGCCAGTTTCTGCGGCTTTTGATAAAATATTAAGCGCTTAATTATGATAGTACGAAATTTCTTTTTTGAAAAATGCGACATACATTCTGTTCATTCAAGCAACTTTAAATTACTTGGCAAGTTAGAGCAATTGTACTGCTTGCAGCTGCTAAAATAAATCCGTTAATCAGTTTGAGAAAATAAAATACGAATGTGACTAACTTTATCAGATAGAATTAATGTATTCGCAAATTTTTGTTCCAACAAATACCCAAGAAATGAGATAAGATAAATCCAACGTGATGAGTAAAAATTAAAAATCTGTAATAATAAAAAGACACTAACAAATTTAATAAACCACGCACACACACTTTAACATCAGAAATTGATGTTATATCTAAATACTATGCTTTCTCATATACATTTATATAAGATGACGTTAAGTTTTAATTAATCCATCCGAAAATAAGCATCCCATAACAAATGCCATACCTGACTAGTAGATCTCTTTTATGATTTGTTTATAGTGAAGGTTCCCCCCCCCACTACTTGTACAGAAGACAAGATTTGAAGTTAATCAATAGGAAATAAAGGTGAGTTTTACAAAAGTTATCTTTTTTATCTTCTGTTTATACAATTTTAGGACTATTCCAATTATTGCGACGGGTACTATGGCAGATTGTGCGGGAGATGTTAGACAAAGTTCGCGGAGTTAAAAAATAAATGTTAAATAAATATAAAATTATGCGAAAGATGTTAGACAAACGTTTCAATTCGTTAAGATCAGCGAAATTTAAGTTGGTATCATAAACTACACGGAAATTATGGAATTAAAGATTCTAACGCAACTACGGTAACATTATATGTAGAAATCAAAAACCAATCTACTGAAAGAATTTGCGTTATCCTATAATGGTTCCAAGTACGACTGGCTATTCATAGTAAAAAAAGCTACTCAATTGAAAATTTTAAATTAGATGTATACAATATCGGAAACCCATGACGCATTCTATGTTAAATTACCTGATAATGCATGCGACAAATTTGAATCATATTAATCAGCGTGTAGTTAGAATATCGATATAGAATGCACTGTCTTTGAATGCGGGGATGCGCCACATACTAATATGTTAACTCTGGCTCTCCTATGTGGCTGGAATCAATATTTTTGATGATTACTGTTATATAATTAATAGTTTGCATGTGGCATAACGTCAATATCCCGATTATATAATCGCATGTAGTTTGACGACTGAATTATGCCACCGTCATCATTGGGTATATAGTCTATAAGCTTCTCGGGTGTCGCCTGATAGTTCAAATGTAGCCTGACGATAGAAATCGGCCACGATCATCAAATCTGGCATACAATGTTCTTATATGGACTGACGACGGAAATGCGCCACCGTCGTCTGTAGCATTTCAAGTGGACATAGCCTAATTTAATTCTAAATACATAATATCACCTCTTCATAAGAACAGCCTCCCTATAAGAGCTAGATTTTCTATCCCACCTGTGTTTTTTTATAGAGAAGTGCGACTGCATCTGTAAGGTTATAATAAAATTATAGAATTTTGATATCGTAAATTTATTTTGGATGTCGGACGGTTGGCACAATGTGTTAGATGGGGATTCGCTAAAGCGGAGTAATATCACGTGTAATTGACTAATAAATCTTCAGTGCACCCACCAATGTTTCTAATGATTTGTAAGGTCATTGTAAGGGTAATGGTTAACAAGTTATATGTAAAATTGCCTACCAATGAGAATACGCAAAAAATTTGATCAGCTGCAAAACAAATCCGCGCAAGACAAGAAAAAAATTAATATCCAAATCTAGTTTGAAGCACTATCAAAAAATGTCGAGAAGACAATTTTACATAAAATTCTTTACTCAAACTCTAATACTTGGCACTTAATATTAATCGACCATGAATCGACATCACGTGCCAGCAACATTTTTCGCCGTGGCTATGGTACTTTAACACAATTCAAAAAATAACTTGAAATTTAACAAATATCTGTTATTTATATTGCGTGATACAAGCAATTATGTAATGTATGTATTTGAAAAAGAAGGAATCAATTAAGTAACACTTCGCAATACATGTATTACGATAATAAAACACAAAATGTTAACCTTATTATCAACCACAAAACTCCTTTTTTTACGCCAAGTTCTAAACATTTAAAATGGACCATTTTTCTATGTTAAAATGATGAAGGATGAAAAGTTTTGAATTAAGGTTTTGATAACTAGTTTCGGTCAGTGTTGACCAATGAACTATGTTTAATGTATAATCAATTTTTTTTACACCAATATTAAAACATTTAAAATGGTCCATTTATAACAAGTTATAACTTACGGCAAAATATAATGTAACTCTGAATTCTAAGATGGAGAATTTTGGAAGTTTCGAATTAAGATTTCGGTAACTAGTTTCGGCCGATGATATAACAACGAACTATGTTTAATAAATAATCAATGAATCAATTTTTTTATGCCAAATTCCATTATGAAAGTTAAATTCTAAAAGTTTTTAAGATGTGGTAGGTGATAAGATAACCATCGATCCATGCATCAATGAATCGGATAAAGAATTTACGAATCAGCTTATGGTCGCATTACCTCATTGCCAATACATGTACATGTATTACATGTAATAATTTGTAGATTAAATTTCATCGTGATATTGACCATCAACTTGTATTTTCAAGAATTATGAAATTTTTTTAAATCCTTATTCGGAATTTAGAGAATGTAGAAATACTTCAGCATTCATAACATTTTACTATGCATTTAGAATGTATCGGTATGATTAAGACCCACAGCGCCTCGCCAGTAATAGAAATAAGACAATGAAAAGTTTTAATATTTACATAATACGTTATGTATTTCAAAATATTTGTCATGTAATATCGTTTAATGGTCGTTTAAAAAATAAACAGCCTGAATTGTACTCGATTACATTTAAAACTAGTTACCTGATTTCATTCTCAAATATATTTTTTATGGACATTCTGAATCGATAATAGATAACAAATAAGATGGATAATATGTAATGGAATGATTAATACATCAATTATAAAAGAGCAAGCGCTAGAAATTTTCATTCTCTCTTCACTGACCGACCATGTCAGGAAAAATCTCCATAAACCGTATATATTACACCCGCCCGGCAAAAATTCTTCTCGTCGAGGCATCACACCATTCTAACCAGAAATGTGTGCATATCTTGGAAATTGAGATTCCGACATACGACAAATGTTCGGAAAAGTTTAAATTAGACAAGAAAAGGTCCCCCAACTGTTATTTGATTTTCCGGTGTGCTTTAATTTGGTCAAACAAAGAAACTTGGAAATGTAGCAATTTGGATTGTCTCCTCCATACGTCAATCGACCGGAACGTGTATTCTAAATTGGCATCCAGCATTTGGAAGAAATGTAATGAAGAAATCAGAAAACTGTTCAAAGACCTCCAGAATCAATTTGAAAATCAGCGTAAGGCTCAAAGAACCATAATCGACGGTTCATCTTCATACAATCCAAATAATATTCTTGATATGGTAGACCAAAGTGCACTTCTATTCCAACCATTACCGTATATAAACTTGGAAGACTGGCAGAAGTATATATATTCTGTGTACCCGGAACCGGTTGTTGATTATTATTATCATGATCATGATAACGTGAGTCAGTAATAGCTGTAATTTTTAATTATATTACACATGTATAACTAAAATAGCTGTGATTGTATAACTAAAAGTAGCTGTAAATATTACTACTTATATGAAATAAAGATCACGCATAAAATAAACCGATGTATATTAAATTAACTTTTTTTCTGTTGTCTTGGTTTTATTTATATTATTATTCATGATTTAATCCCAAAGACATTCTTAAAACAAATAACGATAAAAGATCTAGAAATACTGTGCAAGAATACTTGGCCTAATAGACAGCAAGTTCCATAAATCCTGTGCCTTTTTCGTATGTCCCAATTTTTTCCAGAGATAATATCTAAAACCACAGATTCGCCTAATTAAATTCTAAATATTGTCATTTTAAATTATTTATCTCATTATTAATTCAGTTCCATTAAAATACAATAGTTATTAATTTCAAAAATAAATTATTATGTCAACGTCTTTTATCAAGTGATTTCTGTTAAACCTGAAACTCACATTCAGTTGATGATAATGCTTTCAATAAATTGAATTGAAAAAAAGACAAATGTCATCGAAAATAACATTAACAAAAAATTATTTTTAGCGATTATTTCAATGTTTTTTATATTATCATCTTGAATATGATATTTTATAGTTATATACATGAACATCAATATGTACCATGAATATATAACGTTTTCAAATTTCACTCGTATGAAATCAATGAAAATTATGAATTTGTGTGAATAATGAAGACTTGCAAGCATTCTTAAAATGAACGAACTGCAAATAATGAAAAAAATCTACTAATGGAATTCAACTACCTACTATTTGACCTAAACTTTATTTAATATTTTATGATTCATTACGAATCAGCTCTTTTATAATCCTGAGCTACTTCACAAATAAGCCTATTAAAAGTTTTTTATGACAATCATAAGTTTTTCATAATATTTCTATTCACAATAGCATATACTGTATAATACTATTTGAATTCTATCTGTAAGAATTTTATTAACAGTGAACTACATGATGGTTTGTATTTTCTATCTCTGAATAAGGATAAATTGTTACAATATTATTTACCTTTTATATAAGATTAATTTAATGTTAAATTTATTAATTAATCATATTCAAAATATATTTTACATGTAATTCTAAATTCTAATATGGTCCGGTGCAAAAATGTAGATACACCAAAAAATAAAATTTTTAGTTGTCTCTAATGAAAAATTTGTAAAATC